TAGAGGGGAGGGGGGGATGGATTGGCCTGGTGATGGGTATTAAGGAGGGCACGTATTGAATGGAGCACTGGGTGGTATACGCAAACAATGAATCATGGAACACTACATCAAAAACTAATGATGTAATATATGTGATTAACATAACAATTAAAAAAAAAAGAAATTCCTAGTTAACCCACTTAGAGAAGTACTAAAGCCAAAGTGTAGCCACGGTAACCATCCTATCCAAGCTACACAACAAGGTAAGTGGTTGAGTTGAAAGTGGAAACATGTCTCATGATTTACTGTGTTCTTTCCATTCTCTTATATTCCCTCTAAGTAAAAGGCATTTCTATGGATCCATATGCTGCTCTACAGTGTGTATATAGCTTGTCAAACAGTCCTGAAGAACCAAAAGATTGCAAACTGCGATACAAAGATTAGAACAGAATAAATACTACAATTTTGATCTTAAAAGGAATAGCACAGCTCCACTTTCCTTTCTTTACAGACTGCAGCCAAAGGGAGTGAATGTTGCCCTTTGCAAGGCTGGCTTCCTTTTACTCATTTATGCAGAGCTACATATATTATAAGACATTGCCAGATTATTCAGAAGAGGGAACACTTAGAAGCCAAAAATCTTGCATGACACTCCTGCCCCTCATCCCAAGAAGCTCTCAGCATCCCCAGAAATTTTACTAGCAATTATTTGCAAATACTTGCTTTCTGAGAGTAGCCTTAGAGAAAGCTTCTCTCTCTCTCTCTTTTTAAGATCTTAAACACTCGTGTGCATTTTAATGTACATTTTCCTGGTTTGGAAACCTTCTCTTTTTTAAGATGAGCAGGTCTTATGGAAACATTTAGGAATTGAATATTCTAAGTAAAACAAATTTTATGAACTTTATGTAATGCACATAAAAAAGTATAATTTAAAAAGGTACCATTAATATTGTTATAATCACATTTTTAAGAACCATTTACTCAGAAGAGTTGGCAAATGTCCTCATTATTTCATGATATAAATCATGTCTTTCTAAAGTAAGCATCAGTCTGAAATCTGATCATCACTCAGAAGAAAAACTCTTTTTAAAAGCATATTTACTTTTAAGTAGGAAAGTAAACAGGATCCTATGGGACAACATTTTGATAAATACTCTTTTATAAAAATTCTCTGACTCTGTAAAAAATGAAAAGACACTTCTCCCCTACCGCTTGCCCTGCATGCAGGATGGCTAAACAAACCTCATCTCATCTATTTGAAATGAATTCAATTTAACTTTGCTTGACCAAAAATCTGTTTCCATAGTTCTAAAACATGCAATCACCTCAAAGTACATTGCCATTGTAGCTTAAGTGGCTCAGTGTTTTCACTGAGGAAAATAATACTTTGATTGAGAGAACAGTCCAGTATGGCTTCGGAAAAATAAAATGACCCTTCTTGATACACAATTTAGTAAGGCAGTTGATAAAAGCAGGCAGATATGGCCACTACAGACAGGGTTTAAAGGAAGATGCTTCACCCAATCTGCACAAATGGGTCAAAGGTTACAGTCCTGGAATTAGCATTACAAATCACTCTCTTATAATTTTAAACTTTCAAGACTTTGACAATTCCAACAAACCATTTAAATTCTACATATATCAGTGATCTCTTCATAGTTGAAGGACAGTTTAAAAGTCAATTGTGAGGTAAAGAGAACTTGCAATAAATTACTCTGTTACTCAAAAATAAATAATTTGCTTTCTTCCTAAGTAGTTTTTTTCCACATATGCACACCTTATTACCGGAAATCACATATATATCATTATAAAAGATCATTTTAAAACCTATTGGACCAGTCTGAAAACACTGTTACCACAATTGACTATTTCTGGCATATTAATCCAAATTATTTAATTGCTGTTATTGGTCTGTTAAAAATCTAAAGATTTAAAATACACTACATAAAATATCTATTTTTTAATGAACCTAGCAATCTTTATTTAAGTCAATACCTCCTCAAATGAACCAAATAATCACTAATTGATTAGATCATTTACTTCCATAAACCACTGCTGTCTTTAAACATGTAATAGCTTATAATAAAAAAGACTCTTAATTAGAAATTAATGGGTAGTTAACTGTTTTCCTTTTATATTAATTAATGCTATAAAATGCATGACTTCTTATTTTTTCAATTCTAGGTATTGAGCTTACAAATGCAATAGCTATTTTGCATGTTCTCTCAAAAAAAAAAGCATTTCTTAATATATACCAATTATTAATTGATAAAATACATTCTAGGAAAGGTTGGTAAGTCTTTCCTTATTTTGGGGTACATCTGGTTTACCTAGGAACTTAGGCAACTGTAATTTCATTAATGATAAAATAAGACTACTAAGAAAAATCTCTGATTATTTCAAATGTAACTCCCAGGAACATTTCCAACTCTGACCTACAATGTCCTCTTATGAATTATTTTACATAAAAGAAATAGTCTATCAATCGCTTTGTGCTTCATTTTCCTACATCAAATCCACCTTAATAATTTGTTTATTGTTAAACAAACCATAAACCAACAGCCATAATAAATCATTAATGAAATATCGTGAAGATTATCAAATGGAGCTGATGGATATGCATAAATCTGTCTAAAATTCTAAAGTCACAAGTTCTTATCCAAGGGACTAAGTGTTATTATTAACAATCTTATTGGGCGCCTGGGTGGCTCAGTTGTTAAGCGTCTGCCTTCGGCTCAGGTCATGGTCCCAGGGTCCTGGGTTCAAGCCCTGCATCGGGCTCCCTGCTTGGCAGGAAGCCTGCTTCTCCCTCTCCCACTCCCCCTGCTTGTGTTCCCTCTCGCTATGTCTCCATCTGTCAAATACATAAATAAAATCTTTTTTAAAAAAAGCAACCTTATTAAGTGAAACAAGATAGAGAAAATCAACAGAAAGATTATACTATGAGCACACATTCCTACTAAAATGTATATTCCATAAGGACAAGTATTTTTATTCATTGTTGCTAATGTATGCCCAGTGCCTAGAACAATATATGGCACATGTAGAATGATCAATAAATATATACTGATGAACACCCAGTGAGACAGCTCATTTTACTTTGGGCCAAATGCAAATCAAAAATAAGGGGCGGGGGGAGAGAAAGAGAGAGAGGGAGGAAGGAAGGAAGGAAGGAAAGAAGAAAGGAAAGAAGGAAAAAAAATAGTGCATATAGACACATAATATGCAATACTACATTTATGAATTTACAGATCATCTCTATAAATTTTTGAACATCTCTCTTCTAAGATATTTTCTCTCTTTCTATTCTGTTCTTCCCACTCCATTTCCACTTCCTATTGAAAGTAAAAATCAGAATCTGTTTTTTTCTTTCTCTGGTAAACATACGTTAATTAGTAGATCGGGTGCTGATATGAACAGAATTCACCTTCTACTCTCTTTCCAAATTTGACACTTAGCTCTGTCTCAAACATTTGAAATAAAAGAAATGTAAAAATAATTGTTGTCATTCTTGTTTCTTTAGAATGCACTTTCCTAGAAGTTAGGATCATATATTTGGAAAAGCTTTATATGGCATCTACTAGATACCCTCATTCACTATTAAAAACAAAACAAAAGAAAACAATCAATTTAGATCTAGGAGAACATACAATTCTGAAAGACACCACAACAGAATATATACAAAGGCTATAAATGTCATTAGGGATCTAGTAGCATTTAATAGCATACCTACAGCATTCTAAGAGTGTTCTCTGAGGCACGTAATTGTTTTTTGTTTGTTTGTTTGTTTTTCTTATTCTTCACTGATGCAATGCCAGTGCCTGATACACAGTAGGAAATCACTAAGTATACCATGACTGCATTAACATACTTCCAAGTTGTAAAAGTTTGGCATTTAAAAATTCTATTTTTCAAAAATTTTAGATGTAAGACATAAGCTCACTGAAGTTAATTCTAGGTGAGATCAGTTAATCACATACAATACAAAAAATGTCTTCAGATAAACTAACAGTGCATTTTTCTCACAGACAGTGTGGGGGCCTAGGTATAGTGATTACTTTGAATTAAAGTTACCAAGGAACAGCGAGTGCAAGAAGAACACCATGATGCCCCTTGCCTTCAGAAAGCAGAAAATAAATCTTCCATATTAAAGGTGTCCTCCTGTACCAGGAGGTAAAGAGACATCCATATCACCAGACATGAGAAATGCAGAGCTGAGAAACGAGAAGGCTCTATAAATAAACCTAGCTACATTTACTAATTTATTATCCCAGTTCAAACCCTATTTAGAATTCCTTACCAATTGAAGCTTCCAAACTTAAGATTTCTTTGCCCTGTAAATTTCTTACAGATATATGTTTGTTTGTTTAAAAAAGTATAAAAGCTGCCTGCCTTGGTCATTTCTTTGGGCCTCAATTTTATTACTGAGACTGTGTATATGTAAGCAAATTTTTTTTTCCCTCCTATTAATCTGCCTCATGTCAAGTTCATTCTTAGACTAGCCAGAAGAAACTTGAAAGGCAGAATAAAAAATTTCCCCCTCAACAACAGTGAAAGAGTAGCCCTATCATTCACCATGAGAACCACACGCTTATCAATTCAAAATTCTGAACTCTTCAAAATACAATAGAAATTTGTATGTTTTATTTTATTTTGATGATGTGCTGAGCCTGAACAAACAAGGCCTTTCAAATACTTCACTAATTTACTTGTTTATTTAACTTAAAAACTGAAAACCCTGTGTAATTAGCAGGCGGTCCTCTCAGCTTGGGCTAGACCAAGGTTATTAATCAAGACTACCAGCTAACAGCTAACAAACCAACACAAAGCAGCAAATCTCAAGTCAACAGTATATATATATATTTCACATTCAAACTGAGTATATTATACTAAGCAAGACTCAAAGAAAGCCATGGCACCTGAGATCAGAAACAATCCCATTTTAGAAAAGACACATATACAGAAAAGCCCACTTTCATAACCACAGTTCCAAAACAAAGGAATGAAATCCACATACTCACCTGGCTAATGGGTTCTTTCGTAGGGGGCTTTCCTCTTCTGGCTGTGCTAGTAGCTAGGGTTGTGGTAGTCTCCATAATTGATGTGGACATCTCTGACTGCATGGCAGTGGCTGTCGACTCAGTTGTCATTGAGGAAGGCACTTCACCAACAAGTCTCACATTTCCCACTATGGCGATGTTGGCATCATTTTCGGCTGCCATATTCAGAACTTTCAAGCCATTGTAGTAAAGCCCAGAGAGCTGGCCCTGGAAGGGCTGGCCCTGCTCTTTCCCGCCAATTATTATGGTTGCTTGGCTATTGAAGATTGTGAGCTGACGCCCTGTAAAAATAATATTACATACATGCAAAAATGTTGATTGTGAACTCTACATTCTACAAAGGATGATAAAACAGATCTTTCATGGGGTGGATAATGAGAGCAATAAACTATAAGAGAGGCATTTGACTCATAATTCATTGCTTATAAATGAGGTGTCCATGAAATGCATAATCATTGGCAAATACTTGTAAATTCTCAACTTATTGTAAATGTAGTGTTTTTGCTAAAAGACCAATCAAAGATACGTATTATAAATCAATTTTTAGTGGATCCCTTCTCCCTTTTACCTCAAGATCTTATACTGTTGGTCTCTTAAGTATAAATTGTTAAATTAAAAAAATGTGAGACATCTAACATTTCAAGTATTTGTCATTCTAAGATTACCACTGGCAGAAACTAATCTAGAGCAGCTAAATCTCATTTTAAATTTATGATAAAAATTTCATAGTTCATGTAATGGCCACATGTATCTATATGCTATTCTTTAAAAATGTTTATTTTTTTTGAAGGCATAGTCCATTGTTATTTGAATTATTCTATTTTTCCGGCAATCACACTGAAAAGAAATGCATGGTTTACACTGAGCATGTCAGAGATAGAAAAAATCCAAAAATATTTTTCTGATTGGCTTTCAGCAAGTCTATTAAAACAAAATAAAATGAAAAAAAAAATAGCTTCAGATGTAAAAAGCGGCTTCAGGAATGATACACAAACCAATGGAGAAATTATGGCACAATTCCATCAAACAGCAATCCTCAGCAACAGTACCAATATCATCAAATTGAGTATCCAGTTTTAGCAGATTGCTCTCTGCTCATAAAAAGCATGCACACAACTTTAAGTTCAGTTTTAATTAGGGCTTGTTCTCAAATGCTCTTAGAAGGTTGCAAACGTTAAAGGGACTTCATTTTGACTGGCAATCCATATTGCCCACTATTTAAGATGCCTAGAGTTTAAACCAAGAGTTTTGTTTTGTTTTGTTTTGTTTTGTTTTCAGGACCATAATAAAGATATCAGAACTACATATATTTTAGTTAATAATTTAGAGGCTGGAACATGTAATATAATCTATGAATGATTTATCATTTTGGGTTAATGCTTGCTGTGAGTACCTTCATAGATTGAGTTAGTGGATTATATTTAACAGTCCCTTTAACCTTAAGTTAACAGGGTAAGATTATTAAACAGCTGGTACGTCTAAAAATGTATAGAAATTATTATACAAGGTATGCAAATATTACTATCTACATTTTACTGTTTTAAATTTGTTTTTAATTTAGTTTTACGGAAAATTTATTTTTTATGTTTATTAGTGTTACAATGAAGTACTACTTGGTTATGTTCAAATTATTTTTTTATTTGAAGTTTTAATCAATGTTTTTTACCTTTGTCGAGTAGCCATTCATCAACTACTCGACCAAGTCGATATGGAATTCGCTGTCTAGCAATCGCCAGGCGCTCGTTATCATTGTTTCCTTTAAAGTTTAAAGAGACATTTCATTGGTTAAAATCTGTAAGGTCAAAGGTTAAAAGTTAATACTTAAAGCTTGAGCTATACAGTTGCCACATGATTTTTTGAAATTTGGAATTTTAAAAAGTTCTACCTAGAACATTTCATGTTTCAGACTTGTCATTCATTCATTTATTTTATTTTAGCAAACAAAATTATTCCTATGTTAATTGAAAATTAGAAATCTGCATTTGAGCTAGGTTATTAAACTTATGTTATAGACAGACCCGAACAACCAGTTTAAACAGCATATAATAGCTTTACAAAAAAATGACCATTGATCTCAGGGTTTTGTCTTTTTGATGTTTCTTATTAACTAGTTAAACATGTTCAGGTGAAACAGGTTTAAGTTTTCAAAATACATTCAACCTCTTATTCCAGATTAGTAATTTATGAACACCAAACTTAATACCAACTTTGGCACACTGAAGCATCTAAAATTGGCCTAGAATACTTTATGGCCTATTCAGAAAATAGAAATTCTTATTCATCTCATTTAAGGAAACCACAAAGTCTGAATAGTTCTTGTATATTCCACACAAATTGGTTTATCAATCACTTGGACATCACAAGGGAATATATCTTGCATCATCCAAATATTATAGGGAAAGGCTTTGACAAAAGTGACTTTATTTGAGTGTCCTTCAGTTTCACTTAAAGCTTAACATGTTGAACTGTATAACATATGGAAAAAAATTATATGTTCTTCTATTCTCAAATATCTGCTTTTATTAAACTATTCTAAAGAAGACATGACAGTGGAAGGAACAAACACAAGCCACAAACAGTGGTTCCTACTCACAGATTCAAACTAAGTGGGAGCCTTGCTTCTTTGAACAAAACATTATCTGACAGAAACACAGTTTAAACTGACCTTGAATAATGCTTGCAAATAGATGAATGTATACTTGATCTATAAAGCACTCAGGAAGAATCCAGGCTGCCATCTCAGTGCTCAATAGTATATAGTGCAAGAAGTTTTTCTATTCTGTGAAAATTAACTAACATGGAATTTGAGCTAAGACGTTTTGGCAAAAGCTCAGACAACAACTTAGAGCAGAAAGAAATACTGGAAGGTAGTACTGCTGACAAGAAAATACTGGAGCATTTTGCTCAGAAAGATAATAGATACAAATTTTTCTCAGAATAATTTGTACGTGCTTTCTTATACTGTTTTTACTATATACTATACATACCACAATAAACCCACCATTATATTAGTCACACACTTTTAGAGAAATAGAAAAGAACTGTCACTTAGACCTTATCGATTTGGCCTTTGAATGTCTATTTGACTAATAATATTTCATGCATTAGTACTTAATTTAAAATGTAAATATGTTGTATTCCTGAAACTAACATATCATTGTGTGTTAAGTAGGGATAGTTTTAGTATATTGATAATCTAAAAAAAAAAAAAAACAACAAAACAAAAAAACCCAAGGATACAAATAGCTTAAATTCCAAGCCTATCTTTGTTCTTAAAAGAGTGCACAGTTTGTGTTCTCTTCTCTGTGCTTGCAAACAAATTATATTTGGAAAAATACACTAAGATATGATATTGGTTATCTTAAGGCAGTGAGATGAATAATGAATATGTGGCTTTGGCTTATATTTGATTTATGTGATAAACGTGTTTATGTGCATAATTTGATAGGCAAACATGAAATAGCTTTTCAAAGACACATATCCTTTACTTTATTAACTTCTTTGTCCACCAACACTCCTATCAATTCACACTGTTATAACTCTCCCGATGACTTTATAATTAGGTAGTTCCTTATGCCGTTGTTCATGCTAGAGTGTTCGCATCATCAGAAATGATTATTTCCTGAGACACCACCCAAATTTAGGCTCCAAAACACCTCTTCCCCAGATACTACTACAGCATATTAACAGACCTCTCTGTGTCATATCTGTAATCAATTGCAGCCATTCTCCACATGTCAGCTGATATCTAATTATGCCATTTGTCTATTATAACCCTTCTCATTGACTTTAGGACAAAAACTCAAGCCCCTGATGAGATTTACGAGTAGTTCCATGATCTGGTCCTTTCCTACCTCCTGTTCCTCATCTCATGCCTGCCCCTGCCTTGCTCTCCTCTGTCCATCCTCATGAGACTTCTTTCAATTTTTCTAAGGTTCTCCTTCTTCCTCTGGGCTCTTGTACTTGTAACTTCTTTATTTGAAAAGCTCTTCCTCACTCTCACCCCATTTCCATTTTTCCTTAGCCAAACATGACTCATTAATGGAGTCTTCTTGGCAGAAGGATTATTTCCTCAGGAGGTCTTTCCTGCTGTCCCCAAGTTAGATTAGGACACTTGACTACACGTTTCCCTAGCACCTGATACATGCCCTTTGGAATAGGCACTGACCTTGTAATTGCATATTCAATAAATGTTTTCCCTCTGAACTCTGAAGTTCTATATGGTCAGATACTTTGTGTGCTGTTAATTATTGTATTCTCAGTGCTAGCACAATACCTATCAGATAATAATCTCCTATGAAATATCTGTGGATTGAGGTAGTGAAGGAAATCTTGTTTTTAATTCTGATAGCTTCCACGGAACCATTATCTCATCCTATAGCCTAACAACATTCACAAGAAAATGAAAGCAAATATTTATGCCCAGAGAATAGATCGCATCTAGCCGAGCCTCCCTTTGACTTTCCAAAGGAAACATCACATAGTTCATTTATAATTTTATCTCTTTAGTGATTGTCACTGACTTGAACATCCATACAGTCAGTTCATTACTTGTTTAATAATAATTGCTTCATGCCACAAAATAAGTAACCATAGTTAGTATTAGTAGGGGAAGTAGAAAAGTCCTAAGTAAGACTGGTGGAGAGAACTGACAGCTTTGGATATTCTTTTTGAATAGCTTAGAAAAAGAGCACATAAAAACACGTAAAAATATACACACAGATACATACAATTTGCTCTCATACCTTTGGTACTCAAAGAGCAATTAATATAATTGACTGACATGATTTAAGTCAACAATAGCTTTAAAGATCCTTGATGACACTCAGCTAAAACAACATAAACACCATATTTCCAATGAATAACAAAGAGGCCACCTAACAACAACAGCAAAGAAAAAATTGAGTAGGCAGCAGAAATAGGTGTAAAAAGATGTGATAATATTTTTAAAAGGTAGCCACATGGATAGTATCATACAATCCCATCACCCATGAATATCAGATGACTTCTAGTTCAGAGACCTTTTTTTTTTTTTAACAGAGAGATTTGATTTTGAAATCAAAGGACAGACTTTACTCTTTGTGGGAGTAATGGATGATGGGAAATCAGATGGTACTCACTTCAGTTCAATATATGTTTACTTTAGTTTCTGAAGGCTTTGTTCTTCTACGAGAATAAAAAATTAATGACTTCTCTTGTGACAGAATTATATATAAATACACTATCAACCAAACAAAGACACATCTAAATAGAGTACTCTGATGATGATGTCTTTTAACAGATGAGTTCCAAATCCCTTCTACTATTGAGTATAAAATAGTTCAGACTGTTTAGGTTCACCAGGAATAAGCCTACATTTTGCCTCCACCTCATGATTTTCATTAACAAGCTTCACATGAAAAGTCATTATTGAGGTATATTATTTTAAGAAATTGCTCAAAATGCATTTTATTTCATTACAGATTCACAATGATATGTTATTTACAAAACAATCAGTAACTTGGTATGCTTGTGTTCATTTTTAATCTTGGCCATAGTTTGACATACATCTAAACTTAGCATGTAATATAAAGGACATAAAACAACCAATTTGATTGGGAAAGATCAAAGATCGGTATAATTTCCAATGACCTTTTCTTTCCTCTGGGAAGGGTTGGGATCTAATACCAAACATGCTGAGATGTAGAAACATTACATAGTGCTTCTGAGCATGGTCAAAGAAAGCAGGCCTACATGGACAGGAGGGATTAAAAACAAGTGGAATGTGGGGCCCTGTTGCGCAGTTGGTTAAGCAACTGACTCTTGGTTCTGGCACAGGTAATGATCTCAGGGTCCTGGGATTGAGTCCCACATTGGGACTCTGAGCTCAGTGAGGAGTCTGCTAGGGTTTCTCTCTCCCTCTCCCTCTGTCCCTCCCTGCGTGTATGCTCTCTAAAAATAAATAAATAAATAAATCTTAAAATAAAACCAACCAAACAAACAAACAAAATCAACTGGAATGTATCTGAATATTCAAATCAAGCCAAAGCTTCCTAAATCAGAGGTAAAGATAAAGTAATAATGACCCACTTATAAAAGACCTATTTGTTTTGGAATTATTAAAAGGGTCCAAGAAGAACTTCAACTTTTTAAAAAGCATACAAATCAACTACAGCAGTCAACTGAACACATAAATCAGGTTTATGATAACAGAACTTCTCATTGAATAGTTAAGACATACTTTAGTCTCATATTTTCTGCACCCTAATAAAACTAGAAGGAAGTTTTCCTTTTATTTTCTTTTTCCTCCAGTTGATTTCATGTGGGTTAAGTATGTTGGTACCTCCACTGAAAATATCATCAGCAACATACACATCTCTATTGAAGTAATTTCCAAGCAACGAAACAGTATGTAACACTTGGGTTTATTTTCCTTTGAACTGTGAAAGGTTTCAGTATTTTTAAATTAATTAATTATTAATTGGATTGTAATTAATACATGACATTAGATTAGCTTCAGGATTCAGAATTTTTGACAAAAGGCAGGCTTCCTATAACCGGAATCCATCAGTAAATATAACAATTGCTTGTAAGGAAAATGTCTGTCCTTTAACTAAGGCAAACATGACACAGAATTGGATTTCTACAAAATCAGGCAGTAGAAGTTATAGATCTTCTAGTTGTGAGGGCACAGGCCTTCCAGAGTGTGCCTGATTCATGGGTAATATAAAGCAGTGACGGATTTGGATTGTCATCTGGACTTTTAAGACCTTATGG